GGAACCGTAGGTTGAACGTTTTGTTGATTGTTGATTCAATAGAGTCATCTATCTGCTGATGATATTGGTTAATGAAGGTTTTGATCCTACAGCTATTGTTTAGAAGTCAGCAAAGAAAGCGCTCAGGGCTTTGAGCCGCCATTTTTAATTAAGAGTGGCCATGACCTGTTGGTTCCTTGATGCCTTTGAATCATTTCTTTTTTTGTCCTTCTGGCGCTCCTTTTCCTAGGTTCTTACTTTCGCTAGTTATCCTAAATAAGCATATTCCAATCAAGTCCACTGAAATTTGTTTTAGAAAACACAAGAACATTTTTTTTTAAAGTATTAGGTTTTCATCAATCGCGTTGTGGCGCATGACTAAACACATAATTTAACCTCGAGGCTTATTCTTTGGGCTTACAAAGTAAGTCATTCTTCTGAGGATTAAAATTAGTTACTTTATCGCGTGGATTACCTGCGAAACCTGTAAAAGAAGGCAGGTACACAATTGTAGTGTGTTATAGTCAAATCTATACAATTGCTATGTTGTAATAATTTTCATACAACGCTACTTTTTAGGGCGCACAACAGAGTACAGAAACCAACAAAAGACAGACTGCAACCACGGCCTACTAGGAGTAGAATTTGTTTCTACGTAGAGTGTACAAGTGAAATTTTTATAGCGTTAATGGATAGATTTTCTAACATACAAGAGTGTTTCGGAAATGTAACGTTATATCTTAGGAAGATACCTATATTTAAATTTTTATTGAATTGATATTCAATTATTTTTATGTGAAATTACTTTATAATATTTATAATTAATACAAAGATCGAACACTCAGAAAAAAATCCTTCGATCCCGGATTCGAACCGACGTCTTCTAGCTTACGAACCATCGGACTTAACGAATTTTTCTATATGCTTGCGACGTATCTTTGTATTTGGTTTTTCAACGACTTTTTTCTGAGTGGTCGATCTTTGTATTAATAATTATAAGATGCCTGCATCTTATAAATTTCATAGGATTTAAAAAAAAGATTTTCACATAATAATTAATATCACATTTTAGAATCAAATATGAACGTTGAACGTATATCTAGCAAGTTTATTTTACAGCTCAACTTGTGCACTTAGAGAATTTGTCGGGGCATTAAAATTTACTTTGTAATTATCCCTTACTGTTATGAAGCAATTAATAATTATATGTAACATTAATTATGTATCTTGGATTTAAATAGCGCATGGATATATCCTGTAAATAATACAAATTTTTGTTAACGGTGGGATTGAAAATATTTTTTCGGATCTAAATCGCATACACTTAAACTGCCTCCGTGGCTGAACGGCTACCATGCTGGTCTGCCACGCAGAGGGCCCAGATTTGATTCCCAGGCCGGGAGAAATATTTGTATGGCCTACATTTATTTCTCTCGCGAGTTTGGGTGTAAATTTGTGCTGTTCAATGTGTCCGCGATACACAGATAGGGTATTTAATAAAAATAACTCTTGTAAATGTAGTGCAAGATAGGGTGGTTTGTATTTTATACTTTGTCATTATATTCACAAGTAACAAAATAATTAAAATAAAACAAGCAATATGCGTCACATCTTGCAGTTAGATTTTAAAATATTGTCTACCAATACGTAAAGTATACATTTGGTGAGCAATTCTGCTGTGACTGTTAAAATGATAGACCTTTAATACGGACTCTTTGTGAATTGTATAACATGCTTTTAATTTTCACATGATAATTATGATTACAAAGAAAACACCTTTTTTTCATTATTCATAACTCTTTTACTTGTGATAACACAAGTTGGTATAAAAAAAATTGATATAGAAGTTGATATGTAACAAAATAAGTATAGTTTAACATTCGACGAAACATAAGGCGTAGAAACATATTACAGGTATATTGTGTATATACGCACATGCACTAAAAATAGTAATCGGAAGACTAAACTAAGTGTAACATTAGCAGTAGATCTCCTTGTGAAAGAGTTCTTCCAAGGAAACACTGCCACTTTACCTATTTCCGTCACCAAGCAGTGGTGGTAGCATTACTGCGTTCCGGTTTTGAAGGGTAAGGGTGCTGGTGATATTGCAGGCACACGGGACTTGTCAACTTATGTCTCAGGACGACAGACGCAGTGGCACTGCAACTTTTATGGACAGGCGTGGAGCTTACCATCAGGCACACGACTTGTTCGTTCCGTCGCTTGATATTATAAAAAAGCATGTTTTTTAATAATATCACTTGGGCATGCACACATTGATCTTTAAGTCAAATAAAAATTAAAAAAAGCGATTATGGTTTGAGTCAAATTTAATCATAATAATTGTAAAATTTTATAATAGACGCCAAAATAATAGAAAAGAGAAAAAGTATACAACAATAATATTTCAATAATACATATACAGTATGTACCTACAAATGACGAAAATTACAAGTCTTGTCTTTAAGAATTCAGACACTGTACAGTCATTAAATTAGTTAATTGCTTTTTAAATAGCATAATAGTTTCCTCAGACATGGTACTTTCGATAAATTATAAAAATAGTTTTATGCATGAAGAAATACGTAAAGTCCTACTTTAAATGTTTATTTAATTATTAACGCCGACCATCCTATACAACTTTACGAATGATTTACTTCTTTCTCGTGTTACCGTGTGCTTAAAAGGCATGGAATGCAATATTACATATCGCCCGATGTATATTTTTTGTCTTCGAACTATTTATAAATTACAATGTATTTCCAGCAAATCCAAACCAGGCAATGCCTAAAGAAGGCTGTAAAAGATTCCCATAGCAGGTGTGCGCGACGCTGAATAGATTGTATGTAGAGCCCTCGGCATGACAACCGGTTGCCATTATTGCAAAAAGATAACTATTTAACTCACTGCGACTACGTGCTTTCATTACGTAATATGTTGCCAATGACTGTGTTGATTGTAAAAGGACATTGTCTTCAAGTATAGCGACGCCACATTAAATTTTTCCTGTACATAGAGGAACATCAAGGATCCCACTGAAGCCATTAAACCATAAGAACCGGGAACTACAAAGTTACCGCTCGTATTAAGACATTTGCATAATATGAGTGTATTATAGAACCATTCGAAAGCCATGAAATTGTAGCAAACTTTTGGAACTCATGTCTTTATTATGATAACATTGCTGTAGAGGAAATGGCGTCGCTCGGTAATGATGTCATTTTGTAACAGATAATGTTACGACTAGACGGTAAATAACTACAACTCCCTAGCGTTTCGACGAAATATATGCAAGGGACATTAAAAGTAAAATAATTTATTTATTTATTTATTCATTTATTATCGCGTATATGAGTTGCAATTGGTTATGCCGGTGATGTGTAGTTGGGTATTGATAATTTCAAATTAACGCATTGCGTTGTGGAGACTAGCGAGGGTTAAAAGAGGGCTAGTGGACATTGAAGATTGTAAAGGTGCTTTTACGTGGCAAGGTTTCGCTATTAACCCGATAGAGGAGCAAATATCTCGTTGCAAAAGGATGAAAAGGGAAATAAAATAACTTGTATGGCGGGTCGGTTGCAAGATGCAGAAATCTGTGCGGGGCGTGGGCTTGGGCGAACCGGTCTAGACGAGATGAACTTTAAGGATCGCGCAAAATGAAATAAAAACGCGCTGAATCGCTACATCGCACCAGACTACGACATCGAGCCCGTAAAGCGACAGATTTTTGGCATCAACCTATTTCGATTACTTTAATTCCCATTTTGTAGACAATGGCACTGAACATACCCAATATCTGCCTAAAAATACTTTATATAAAATAATAAAATAACGGTATATAATAACGGTGTAAAACCGCCAGTTTAGAAATATAAAACTTTAACTTTAACATTTCAATTATATAAATATTTGATAAATTCGATATAATCGGAATATTGAAATTAAGTAGGAAATTTAATTCAAATGATTGATCTCTACATAATAGATTATAAGATTTAAATTTTTTGCGTAAAGAAACTAATTTTGTTGACAGCAATAATGGTTCATACAACGTGCAAGTAACGAGTTGGTACGGTAATGCAGTATCGTATTGTGTTATCGACCTTACTGACTATTACTTTGTACCCATTGAGCAAAAATACCGTGTACTGTAGAGCTCTACAAACAAACCAGACGAACGAGTGCATCAGGGAAGGTACGTATTCACTATAACTACCTCCGTAAACAGACTACATGTTGCTGATGCAAAAGGCAATTTAATTTAATGAGATTTTTTCTAAAGGCACAATAAACTCCGACAGAGTTCGTTGCAAGCTCCCTGGAGAAAACCTCTAATTTACCTTGAGTGGACACAATTGGAAGAAAACACAAGAGAGGGCGTCGCGCCCGATTAAATTAGCGCAGATAAGATTAGTGGCTTCGGAACCACCGCCACCGTATCGCCTCTGCGCCGCCACGCAGCCGAAGACTTATGTGAACATGTTATTTGCAGCCGTCGCCCGGATAACTGACTCTGGTCGCGCCGAATTACCCGCATGCCAGCTGACTCCTACACCCGTTTCACGACACCAATAACACATTAAAGTCGTAATGACGACCTCGTAAAAAAATCCCCTCGCGGTCGTTTCCCGGCTCTATCGTCATCGCGCGTAGACGTCCGTTTCAGGAACATACCTTAGTCTTTCATGAATATTTATCGCAGCAGTAGTGGAGCGGAGTTTCGCGGACCGGACTCGGGCGGGGCTGCACCCTAATGCAATGATTCATATTATTCGGTTTGCGGGCGAGTTGAACGTCTTCCATTTATTGTCATTCATCGAGGAAGTGGGCGGTGAGGGGCGGCGCGGCCCGGTGGCGCCCCCCGCGCTGTGTTCAGTCGCTCGCCGACACTCTCGCTGCCAGCACGCGAGAGCCGCGATGCACGTCGCCTACGCTTGACGCATTCAGTAGCGGTCCGTGTGTGTGTGCCCTCCGTGATTCGACATCGGAGTTCGATCGAGGCGCGAAAGTGCCGCAGCCAGTGCATCCTACCGGAGCTCGTGCCTTAGCGGAGCCAGCAGCCGGTGTTGCCAGTGTCCATAGTCCAGTGCCGGTTTCGCAGCCGACGGCTCAGCTGACCGGCGTGCCTACTGCGTACAAGCGCACGGTGAGTGCGTTCGATCACAGCATGCACGCGCCCGACAATACTTTCTGAGTCTATTTCGAGTCGCTCGCAAAATACGGCACCCGATGGATTGCATGTACGATTGTACGCCGAATTGATTCGCAGTTCTCCACCGCTCGACTGCCAAAGGTTGACGATTTCGTGAAGGAATTGCGTCGATTTTTCAAGTGTCATCGGCTCAGTAGCGAGCGTGTTGATAAACAGTGTCGGTTTGCAAAGATGGGCTACGAGTCTGACTCGTTGTGGAAAGTCGTATTATGTTGTTATGACGAGGAATCGGCTTTCGGGAATGAATGTAGATTGATAATCAAAACATGATTGTTGAGAGTGTGGTCATGTTTCCGCTGTTGCACGGGTGACTTGCAGTGCTGTATGTGCGTCGCAGCGACGTCGGACAGGGCGACACGCGGTACGGTGGTCGGCATCAGCTGACTTCCCGTCGTCGCCCGCCACTCCGCCGTACTCTTGCGCAAAATGTATGCGCCACCCGCTCCTCGCTTGCCTTACTAACGGCACTGGGATATCCCCACTTTGCGGCTTTAATATATTGCTTTTCTTTTTTTTATGCTATAGTAGCAGTCTATCTAGTTACGTTACTGCATAAGCGTACGATTATAATAACAAGCAACTTTTGAAAACAATAAAATTCCTGCATAAAATAAACTCTACATTTCTAGTTTTTAGACAAAAGAAATTAAACAAAGAGTGTAGGTAATATAAATCATGGTCATATTGCGAGTTATTCGAGTACAGCAACCTGTTATCTCTTATCAATCTGCTCTTGCGAAGGTCGCCGGCGGACTGATAAGCTCCAGTAGCTGCCAGCTCAGCCCAAGACTATATGTAGCCAGCAATCACTTTACTTTACGTGCAGAAAATGCAATGTATCTATAATATAATAGAAAGAAATTTGACATTGACTAGAAAGAAATAAGATATAGTTTGTATCCCCATATAAACTTCCTATTGATCGTGTACATTTTATATAAAGAATTTGTTTGCCAAGTTAAAATTACGTTTTGGTAACTTATTATTATTGTTAACATTTTATAATGTTGAGTTTGTTCACCAGACGAAATATAGGAAGATCACAAATACTTTGACTAACTAATTTAATCGAAATGTCGCAGTCGTAATTCAGATTAGGGTCTAATAATAATTTTTAAAAAGAAATATCCTGATCGGATGAGCAACATTTATACCGATGTTTATAAGCCTACACGGCCTACGTACCTACTTACTTTCGTTAAAAATAGACCCTAATTACATGGCTCATTTTAAAACAATTTTACATGATGACATAGTGTTGCATTTTCTGTTTTGCCAAGAACATATGTGTTGTTAGTAATGAATTATAATTTAAAAGTACCTATTTATAATTTGCAATGAACAAGAACAATAGCGTAGATGTTTTTTAACATTTTCAAATAAGGATAGTAACATATTTTGTTTACACAACATTCATCTATATTCTTTGTATTCTTCTTGTTGTGTGTGCTGTTCAGTGTCGCTCTAGTTTATTGTGTTATATTTAACAAACTTTGTATTTTTAATGCGAGAGGCAGAACAGTTCCTCTTGTCTCTCAATTATGTAACGAGATAACATACCAAACGTTTGGTCTGGCGGATAGGTAGTGGTCACTGTGCGTAATTTGTTATCATAAAGATAACAAATTTTTAAAAAGAACAAATCGGCCGACTAATGGGTCAGTCCATTGCCAAGAGGTTATTCAGCTGCGAGGAATGCGTTAGGCGCATTAAGGGGAAATAGACTCCCGTATCTCTGGTACAAAAGACTATTGACACAACGAGATAAGCGTATCTTTACACTAATGTATGAAGGTATCAGCGACTGCTTTACACTCATTGTTCCGTTATCGGGTACGGTTAGCGTATTAACGTATGATAAGCAAATAAATGCCTGCTCTGACGGCTAGCCATGTCCGATGCTCCATCGAATGTCATCTGTCTGCCTACACTTGACTACAATTGGGTGATTTACGCAAATGCTTTTTTTATTTGCCATTATGTACCTTTCGATTTAAGTTGTAGGTGAAAATGTGGAAACAGTCTGTTCAGTTTATACTCAAAAAAATAGAACGCCTGACTTGGCGTTCAAATAAGGGTTTAGTTTACTCGAGACGTATAAATCCTCTCGAGGCCATTCCACAAGGGCTCAATGCCCAGACATAAAAGGAATGCGACAGCGGTGTAAGCCGAAGATTGAAGAATCGTGGAGTGTCTGCAGTTTCCCCTTGTTCAAAGCGAATCTATCGGCAACGATGCGGCGGCGGCGGTGGCGGGCGGCGTGTCGCGTTCGTTCACTTCGCGAGGCTATATTTAGTGGGAGCGCGTTCGCGTCGGGGCTATGGCTGGCTGGAAGCGGAATGCAGTCCGAGCGCCTGCCTGCCTGACCTACCGCAACACCACTGTCACAGTTTCGGCGCACGCACAGCCTCTCACTGCCTACCACACGGGATGCGGCGCACACGTATAACATATACTTATTTTATGTACCGCAATGTAACGCTATACAGTTTTCGCACACGTATCTCACGTACGCGAGATTCAGATGTCGCAAGGCGTTTTGTGAGTCTTAAGCAATTTACTTACATTATACAGACTTTTACGAGTACGAAGAAACAACAAACTCATGAGGTAGGAACCTCGTTAATTGCTGCAAGTTTAGATAAATAGTTAAATTATGCGGGTCATCCCTTCTGTAATTTCTTCCATTCGATAATTTTAGGTATGATGTTTCTCAACGGACTTCGATAAAAATCTCTGTTGCTAGTGTACTTTGGCCTAAAATCCTCAATACACAATGGTTAGCGTAATTTGGCTGAGAGTTTATCCGGGGCGGATGTCTGGGGTGCGTCGGCCGCGGCGGCGCCGCCTGGCTCCGTCGCCGCTATTGCTTCAGATTGATCGCGTTGTTCGCTCGTACACGTCTTGCTTTATCGACACTTCACCAAAGCGTGACGCAACTAACACTCGATGAGCTGACACTGTGTCATTTACCACAAACATTTGCAGACAGAAATTTGAAATATCTTTTAGAAACTTATATGAAGTAAATAGAGTATATGGAGTATATTTTCACAGAAAATTAACATTATTTATCTACTGACACAATGTGATATTTTAAAAAACGTAAACTTTTCCTAAACCAAGTCTATTAGTGAAATGTTAGAAAGTGGATATGGCAATATTAAAAATTACCTATAAAAACATAAAACGTTGACGTCATAAATTGAACACGTAACTTTTATTACTTGTTATCGCGGATATTTGTTGCAGCTCACGATAAAATAAGAGGTGCTTCGCGAGCCGTGCAGATAAGAACTTTTATATTGGTTACCAACCAACACAACTCTGCCTCCATTTCCCGGCCTACGGAAAAGTTTGTTGCAATGCAAGTTATAATGTTGCCAAAGTTGTAACAATATGAACGGCATGGTAATGAAATCGTAAAACTTCGGCAAAGTAAATATTGGAAAGTAGACAACACGAGCGCTGAGGAGTAATTGTTACAATATTTCAACGGAAGTCTTCCTACGCTTCTTTATATAAGCACATACACTTAACAAAAAGAGGAAAAGGGTCTATCTACAAAGGCAAACATACGTAACGTTAATATTATTTATTTTAGTAGCAGTAGAGCTCCTTGTGAAAGAATTCAAGTCAAGGGTAGTACTGCCACCTTACCTATTTCTGCCGCCAAGCAATAATGCAGCATTACTGTATCCAGTTTGATGGGTAAGGGTGCTGGTGAAATTACAGGCACATGGGACTCGTCAACTTACGTCTCAGGGTGATGGACGCAGTGGTAGTGCCCCTCAGATCTTTGCAATATAAAGCTCTGAGTGACACTGCAACTGTTACTTGATGTTGTAAAAAATAATAATAATAAAACCTAATTTTTATGGACTTATGAAACATAGTTATAGACTACGCGAATTTTTTGAAGGTTACAAACCGTATTGAAGCGCGCTTCTTTTACGAGCGCTAAATTATACTAAAGCGCTGTCTACACATGCTTCTATTATGCAAAAGGAGTCCTTGTTACTCCTGCATTCAAATCTGGAACGTTTTGGATGGCAATTTTGCGCTGCAACAGCAATGTAAAGATGGCGACTACATTTTCCAAGAAGGAAACTAAGGAGCGATGTGTTTAAATTACATCAAGCGACGTAGGTCGAAAGTAGCTTTCTCGCTCTGTTTGAAACGGTAATAATAATATTGTTGATGAAAGCATTAATATCTCGCTACATACGGACTAGTGTTTTAATCTACTAACAAAATGGATATTCCCATCTACAAGCTAACTCGGTAAAACTAAAGATACTCTTAAAGGTACTTTTGTAATCTTTGTTTTAAAATCAATTGAACCCTTTGATGGATGAAATACACGCTGAAAATAAAAGTGCCATAAATAGTGAACGACCGAAAAAAATACAATTGAAAACTGAATTTAGCTTTAACAATTAACCGCAGTTTATTCAAAACGAAATTGTTTATACAACAATAATGATTTCTCAGATATAAAATATACTAATATCCGAAAGTAAGAAAATCTGAATCCGGATTAATCTACACACTGGTTAAGTTTCTTTTGACTGTTGAGCGCCGTAATGACTAAGTGCGCATGTAAAAGGTTACGAAAATAATAAAATTCATATAACTGCAATGATAGATTATTTAAATATTAGTCCATAACAGTTAGTTAACTCGCTAGGCTCTTATCACAAGGGCAAAGGTTGAGTGACTATATAATAGAGTTTTTGGCCTTTTGCTTATAAACCGGATAAATACTGTAAATTGACTATTAATTGAAATTAATTTAATTTGATAACGATTTCCATAAATTGATAATTATAAAAAGGCGGCTCGTAATGTGTGATTTTCGTCAAAAGTACGTAAGAATAGTTATGATTGTGCGTTTATGTTATCGCATACTCAGATAAAATAATTTGTTGTCA